CTCAGATTCATCTGCATCAAAACAAGATTCACTCAGATTCATCTGCATCAAAACAGTTATTTTTATTTATCCGTTTCCTCCTCAAGTTTCTTTTACAACTACAACAAAAAACAGAAGTGAAGTGAGGTGTCTTTGAAAACACATAGTTCCTTTTTTGTCCTTGGACCATGTGGGGGGGGATCGGTTCCCACAATGCACACACACACACACACACACACACACACACACACACACCGCAGCTGCCGGCCTCCCCGACTACCAGCCGTCCGACAAAAAAAAGAAAATCTTTTCAAAACCAACCTCAGGAACCAGCGGAGAGATGATTAAATTCTCCATGCGAGGAGTTCAAAAGCAATAAAAAATGAAATGAAAACATGGGCGGTGTGCAACACAAAGACCTCATTGTTGCCGGGCAAAGGAATGCCTGTGTATTGTGTGTGTGTGTGTGTGTGTGTGTGTGTGTGTGTGTGTGTGTGTGTCGATGTGGGCAGAGGTCGGGAGGAATTTGAGTTTTTGCATGGAGACAAAAGGCAGCCTATGAGGCAGCGAGGATGAGGCTCAGAGAGGGAAACAGAAAGACAGACGGTCGCTGCTTCCTTTCACGTTGTCCCACTCTAACACTTTGAAAACTCCACTTATTAATATGTTTTACATCAATGAGTCACGTGACCGACTGCCTGCTCAACATCTTTGTTTAACAAACATTCGGCTAATTAGCACCAAACACAAAGCCGTCCATCCACCTGCTTCGGTACAAAGTTTCATTTTGCTGATAAAAGAAACAGAAATAAATTAAAAAAACTCAAAATATAAAAAACATTTTAAAACAAAGCGAGTTTGTGTAACGATGAAAACGAGACAAAGTGAAACAGAAACAGACTTAGTGAATAAATTGACTCAAACTCTTCTTCTGGCTTTTCTCATACTCTGTACTAAAACTAAACGCGTCGTTTTGTTTCCTCAACAAAACGTTGCTGCTGCAGAACGCATGAAGAATAAGAACATAACGCTGCATTAATGTACAAAACAAGTGTCACGTTTCAACTAATGGTCTCAACATTGTTGTCCATCGATTGAACTTTTTAGTGACCGTCTTTGTGACTCTTATATAAATTCAAAATGATTATTTGTATGAAATGAATGCAGCTTTATCAAACGTCTCATGGATGCAGTTATACAGGTTGTAGATTGTTCGTGATTTGCATGTGTGGATATGGAACATCTTATCACACCTGAATTGAAAGCTGAGTAAACTTGCATCGGCAGATTTTCGATGCAAAATGTTCTTGTAATTTCACAAAAAAATACAAAACAATTCGCATCAGTTCTTATCTTTCTGGTAACTTGATTGATTCATGAACTTCAGCCTGGACGTCTTCTGGTCGGCAGGAAACTAATGCAACAGATGTATAAACATGATTTAACTCACAAAGGCTGCTTCACCTCCACGAGGAGGAGAAGTTAATAATAGAAACACCAAGCGTGGAACTTTAATGCCAATGACATCATCGGTTATCAAACACACGATGTGAGGTAACAACAGTGTGATGAAGTCAACAGTAAAGTACATCTACGTGTACTTCTACTTCCTCCTCACATTCAAATCAGAGCAGCAGGAAGGACGACATTCGTCCAGATGCAAATATTAAGAAGGAAACAGTCAAATTGATGCATGCTGGGTAATTGTTTCAGATAACTTCGATGTCACAGAGGTCAGAAATGTTTTTCACTTTGAACAGCCGGCAGAACATCCAACATGACCGAACCTGTCTCATCACAGTCCTCCAGTCACGCTGAAGACGACCGAGACAGAGACAGAAACAAAAGAGACAAGAGAGACAAGAGACAGAGAAAGATACAGAGACAAGAAACAAGATACAGAGACAAGAAACAAGAGACAAGAGACAAGATACAAGAGACAAGATACAGAGACAAGAAACAAGAGACAAGAGACAAGATACAGAGACAAGAAACAAGAGACAAGAGATGAAGAAAGACAAAGAGAAAAAAAGACGAGACAGAGACAAAAGTTAAGAATCATGAAAAAGAGATCAAGACAAGACACAAGAGACAGAAACACAAGAGACAAGGGACAAGATTGTGCCTTGTGTGGCGATTGTGGCTAAGTGGATAGCAGGGCCGTCTTTCAATCAGAGGGTCGGTGGTTCGACCCCGGCTCCGCTAGTCACATGTCGATGTGTCCAAGTAACGAGAGTTAAGAATCATGAGAAAGAGATCAAGCAAGAGACAAGAGACGAAGAAAGACGAACATGACGTAGGAGGAGTGACGTCACTCCTCCTACGTCTTTATATGTTAACTTCTGTTCATTGGTTGTGAAAACAACGTGGCGACGCCTTAATCCAAGACAGTGACAGTGAACTCGAGGCTTTAAAACATCAGTCCACAAACCAATGGGGGACGTTACCACGACTACGTCCACTTCCTATACACAGTCTATGACCTCACTCTAACTAACTGCTGAAAAGAGAAGAAGTAAAAGAAAGTGCTCAAAACAACTCCCAAACCAAAGTACATTGGAGATAATGTGCTGACATTGCACAATAATTCATATCATTTTGCTTTGCCTCAGGCTCAGGAATCAATACGTAATCAGAGAGAAGTGTGAAACAAAAACATCGTCTGCCTGGTGCAACACGTTTTGGAAATTCCCATAAATACTCTCACACACGGGATAGTGTGTATGAAGGTGTGTGTGTGTGTGTGTGTGTGTACTGACAGATTGTCAAAACAGGCGATAAGAGAAGAATGTGTGTTGTCCACCGTACCAAATACACACAGGACTCTTGTTTTCATGCTTATGCTGCAATGTTGGTCCGTCCACCGCTAACTGAAACATCTCAACAACCAGTAGATGAACTGTGGTCGTCTGTGGTCTCCAGAGGATGAACCCTGCTGACCTAAAGATCCCACCATCGGTGAGGTCTTAATATCTAGAACAGCTCGATGTGGATTGGAACAAAACATTCTGCACAGAAGATGTATCGTAACGACTTTGGTGATCTGCTGCATTTTGCTTTCCAGACACGTAGCATACGTTAGCATGCTAACACGCTAAACTAAAATGATGACCGTGCTAAACATTGGCAGTCAGCTCAAAGCAACACTGTGTTTAAGTCGTAGACTGTCTATAAGAAGTGGACGTAGTCATCGAGACGTCTCTCATTGGTTGGTTTGATGTTTTGAAGCCTCGAGTTTGATGATTTGTCCATCGCCATCTTGACTTTTTGCAATCAGTGAACAGGAAGTGAGCATATCTGGACTGAGGAGTGACGTAGAGACGCCATATACGTCTCTGGTAGAGACCTATCAATCACCGTGTAGCCCCGCCCTAAAGCATCCCCTGCTTTATGGTCTGTTGACTCTAAATGGACCATAATGTACTAAATGAACATCATGCTGTATTGAAGAAGACTTGAAACTAGAGATTGAGACCATAAACTCATGTTTACAATGTTTACTGAGGTAATAAATCAAGAGAGAAGTAGAGTCATTTTCTCATAGACTTCTATACAACCAGAGGAGTCGCCCCCTGGTGGAGACTAGGGAGAATGCAGCTTTAACACATGAAGCTTTGACTTCTCTTTTCAGAACCGGCGGTTGCCGCCTGGTCTAACTGCAGCCTCACAGAGCTGCTGACATGACCAGACTCTTATAGTGCGATCACACCAAACGCCTCGATGACGTTATGTTGAGTGTTGATGAGCAGCTACATGTTTAGCATCCAACAGCAGCAGAGCGTCACTTTCATTTAAATGTCTAAATTGCACTTTAACCTTCGTCCGTTTGTTTTTTTTGGCTTCGAAGAGACGAGAACAAACAAAGTCCACTGCAAAGTTTTCCCCGCCTGGTGTGATTCAACCTGTGTGTGTGTATGAACATGAAAGAGAGCATGACTGTGTGCCGTCACCGTGAGTGTTTTTCCTGCAGCTCAGATCCATTCGACAGGCTGCAGCTTGTCAGATGGATCTGAGCTGCACTTTTACCAGCTCAAGCTTTAAAGTGTTAAACATTAATGCTTTAATAATAACAATCCAATCATTTAAAAAAATATATATATATATTAGTTAAAATAAGCCACTCTGCATGAGTACTTTAAGTAAAACTTTGAACGCTTGACTTTTACTACACCGTAGTATTTCTTCTTTTACTTACTGTGAACTTCGAATACTTCTGTTTACATTAAAGTTTTAATCCGTAGAGATTTTTTCTCATGAAATCAAACCTCAGCCATTAAGTGTATAATCACAAATCTATAAATCAAACAGAACATGACAACAAAAGACAAAAGCGTTTTCAAATGTTAATGTGCATAAAAATAGCTTTATTTCCAATAATAAATCAGAACCTGCATGCAGAAACCAATGATTCATTGACCTCTCCACTCGTCGGTGATTCACATGTGGTGTTTGTGACATTAAGCAGCAGAACAATCGTTTCTCTTCTAGCTGAACAGACCGGGAGACGATTACCAGCCGAGACTTTTAACTGTTTCCTGTCCGAGCCGGAGAAAGCTCTCTCCCTCAGAGAGAGAGAGAGAGAGAGAGAGAGAGTCGGTGAAGTCGACTCATTTGTCCGAATGTAATCAGAGATGTGATCCTCCGTGTCCGAGACTCGCTGACAGAATGTTTGGTTTGTTTGTCAGGAGGTTTGTGTGGAGACCTTGAATTTCAAAATAAAAGTTGACCAAAGCTCCATTTGGGCTACAAAGATGGACGTCCCCAGAAACAGCTGAAAGTGTTCCAGCTTAGTAAGGAACCCGGGTCTACTTCTGACAACATGGACCATCACATCCTCTGAACAACCGGATGAACTCCGGCCACACAAGCAATCCTTCTACGAAACAAACATAAATACAAAAGCAAAAAATAAAAACGGTCTAAAAAGATAATAGAAACTCTTACAAAATAAAAAGCTTCAAAACTATTTTGCCTCTGAAACATCTCACACTAGTGTATATAAAACTTTATTAAATCACATATACAACAGCTTAAAAAGGGGGAAAACCCCCAAACCTGAAAGAAGGCAACAAAATAATTTGACAGTTAAATTAATAAAACAGGAACATGTTGATCTACTGCAGGAAACAAATGAAATAAAAACACTGGAGATGAACGAGAGGAGAGTTAGTATCAAAACAGTTACAGGAAATCACACGAACGTTACTGCCGCAGAGAAAATACAACTAGAATAATTTGGCATTTAAGTATTTGGAAGGTATTTGTTGAGTACCAAGTTAATATTCTTTTTATCTGACTATGTACATAACTCCTTGGAAGATCAGAAATGTGAAATGTGAGCATCGAACGTGTTCGTCACGGCTTTAGTGACGAACATAATAAAAGCGTCGGTGTAGCTTATTGAGAAAGCATCAAAACCCAAAACTAAAGAACACAAAGTACCAGAACTACCAGTTTCCCCGATCGCAGAGCTGAACAATCGTCTTCTCATTTCACTGATTGAGTATAAATGTTGTAGCGAGCTAACGATGAGCTTCACAGATAGGAGAAAGAAGTGACACTTATTTTATCACAGAGGACCGAATGCCACTCTCGCGTTAGCTTAGCTTAGCTTAGCATAAAGACTGGAAACTGAGGGAAACAGCTAGCCTGGCTCCGTCCGTCAGCTAGGAGCTCACCGATTAACACCTTCCATCTCAGTTGTGTAAAAAGTGTAAAAACGACAATTCTTCATTTAAAAAATAAAAAAGGAGAAGATGTGCCGGATCTTTCTTTGCTGGAAGCCTCCTGAAATAGTTCTAACATTAACGCTCATTAACATATCGGTGTCATGGTAACGTTAAGTTTACGACTTGCAAACTGTGTAAATTTAGTACCACGAAACTAAAGTTACAATATATAAACAGAAGTAACAATGTAACAATGTAATGCAAGTAAAGCTAAATGAGTTGGATAAAGCGTGACATCGTCAATGTACGGCGTCTTTAACTCTCACACGTTGCAACTCTGTGATCACAACTGTGGACAAAGCCAAGCTAATCATTTCCATTCGTTTCCAGTCTTTATGCTAAGCTAACCAACTGTCGGCTGTTGCGTCACATTTATCACAGATAATAAAGAGGTACCGATCGGCCAAACGGCCAAAACTATTCCTTTAGTCTAAAGAGGGTCAGCAGCTTCAGTCGTAGTGGGGTGTGTGTGTGTGTGTGTGTGAGGAATGTAGGTGTGTCACCCTGTAGGAGCATGTTGGTTCGAGTTCACCACAATAACAGAAAACAAACCCTGGAGGCACAGCGGTAATTATCATAGTGGTGAAACATCCTCCAGGCTTTAAAAAGGAAAACACGCTGCAACGCAACCGTGTGCGAGAGAGAGAGAGAGAGAGAGAGCGAGAGCGAGCAAGAGAGAGCGAGAGAGAGAGACCTGGGTCATACAGTATTTGCATATTCTCCTCCCTGGTTAGTTTAGCTTACTGATCAGGCGCTTGGTGTCAGTCTGACGGGACTTTCCCCACATGAGGAGATACAAAACATGCCAGAAGGTTTTAAAGACTAATGTTTTAATCTGAAACAATGATTTGCAGATACTCTCCTGACCTGTAACCGTCGGAGCACTACGAGGATAAAACAACTCAGATAATCTTTACTTATCGGTTCCAACGGATGACGTAGAAATCTACAGCGTTCAGGCAGATTTACTCAAATCAAAATGACTTTGAACAACGTTGAGCTCCGTTCTTTCCCGTCGTGAGGAGATCTTTAATAGAAAATAAAAAATGAAATCTCTCTGCGTTACAAGGAGTTCTTATAAAACTAATAAAAGTGTTCACATAAAAACATAAAAGTCATTCTTCTACAGCGGTGCGAGAAGCTGCAGGAGGAAATAAATAACGTGACTTTACCGTACCGAGACAGAATCATTGCACAGTGTTTAGTGTTTCTAACGGGGGGGGGAGCTTAAAGTCCTCAAAGTTCTGTTTCGTCTTCTCTTGACACATGGGGACAATATAATAAAAAAATGTAAAAAACACAAAACGAGACGGCGTACCGCAGCTGAAACCGTCCACTCACACTGCTGAGAGACAGACGAGAGGACCAACAGAGCCTCCGATTGGTCGAGAGGGCACCGATAACAATTAGCACACATCCAGGTGGGAGGAGTCAGTCAATCGATCGTGTAGTCGGGGCTTCTCTCCTTATGAGGTATCGAAAAGTGAGGATGAACGACGATGATGATGATGAAGAAGATGAGGCACTGTGAGGCTGATTGGTATATGTGTGTGTGTGTGTGTGTGTGTGTCTATGCGTAGATCTCCGTGGTGGGAGCTTTCTTGTAGATGGGTTTCTTCCCCAGCTCGTAGCTGCCCTCGTCCTTCTTCTTCATGCGGTAGATCAGGAGGAGGATGAGGAGCACAGCGAACATCAGGCCGACGGCACCGCCCGCAATCAGAGCTGGAGGAGACGAGGAAGAGAGAGAGAGAGACGGATTTTATATTAAGAGGAGGAGACGGGTTTTTTTTTATTTTTTTTATTTATATATATATATATATATATATATATTAAGAGGAGGAGGAAGACCAATGAGAGAGAGACGGGATTTTATTCACGGTGAGTTCTGACCTGCGAGGACCTCCGTCTTGTTAAAGATGCTGTCTTCACTGGCGTGGGACATGAGGACGTTGGACGGCTTCGCCTCCTCCTCCTCCTCCTCCTTGGTCACTTGGATTTCGTTGCGGTTCTGGACCAGGTCCACCAGGTCCACGGTCGGCCACACCGGGCGCTCCACCTCTGGGATCTTGTTGTCGTTGACTTCAGGCTGAAGGACGAAGACACGGATTTAAAAACCAAAGTCTGAAGCTTCAGCAACATCACACCCAATTTAAATGTAAAAGACTATAATATTGTTTAAAAAAAAAAGCAGCATAAACGACTATAAATACATATTTTTTAGAAGTTTCTCACCTTAACTGACGGCTTTGAGTCTCTAACAGGCGACACGGTTGTTTCTGTGGAAAGAGGCAGATTCTTCATTTAGTCTTCATCGTTTATATCATTTATATCAGAATTAGCTCCAGAATTACAAGACATGCTTTTAAAATGTGTTTGTAAACAAACCTCCATCACCGGATCCGGATAACTCGTAGTCCTCGTCTTTGTCCTCGTCGTCGTACATCGGGTCGGAGTAGTAGTCTTCATCGTCATCGTCTTCGTCGTCCGTGAAGCCAAAGTCGGACCCGTTGACTGAGTCTCCCGATGACTCCAGGTGTTCATGGCGCGTCGTCATGTCGACCGTCTGCGTGGTCTTCATGGGCATCCACGTCTCCGTCTCCCTCACCTGCTGGGACACCAGAGACAGAGGAGGAGGAGTCAGAGAGGTTTACAACACGATGTCAGAGGAGG